ACCGTCACCAATTGTCCCCTTTGAGTCCCTTGTAGAGGTCATATGACCTTCAACCATTGTGGCTGTGTCGCCAGCTTTTGTTCCTCAACCTCGACCTGCAAAATGTCGACGCCAGACTATTACTGCCACCCACTGTTCCACAACAAACCAATCTGGGGCGCAACCACTACCGGATACTGGCTGGTCACCTGCCCCGATGCGTTGGCGCCAGGCCCGGGAGTTTACACCTCCTGGTATGTCTTCGTTTTCTTTTTTGGAGGTTCATTGCTAATTTGGGCGGGTTAGGGACGTCTGTTCCAGCGTCTGTGAGGGTGTTTCAGGGGCGGGAGGCACTTTCTACGCCACGCAAGCCGACTGCTATGCGGCTTGGCACACCCGTTGCCGACTCGGGGAGCATTCTCACCCCGCAGAGCCTCAAACGCCCAACTGCGCAGCTGAATACCCGGAAAACGACCCCCTGATCTTCAAGGACCTGCATTTCGTCGTCCGGGGCGGCGAGGCGATCTACAGCAGCAAGGATAGCGCCTTCACGCACTACCAAAAGTCAATCAAGGAGGACGGGAGCGCCGAACTACTCGCGACCCGTAACTATATGAAGGTTGGTCAGTCTCATCCCTGCAGAGTTCGCCCGACTAAACCTTGGTAGGCTTTGTATTTTGCCCGCGGTGCCAACGAATGGACGGCGGAACGGTTTGCGCGCGAAACCAGTCCCGCAGAGCAAAACCAGGCCATTGTGCCGGCTTCCCCGCACCCTGGTGGAGGCATTAGTTACCCGTTCAGCCCTGCGTGCGCTGCTCCCCCCGCCGCAGACTCCGCGAACGAGGGCAAGGCGTTGGAGAGCCAGCGCCAGCAGCAGCGCGCCAATCGCCTTGCTGCGATTCAGGCCGGCCTGGAAGCCGGGCGTCTCGAGCAAGAAAAGAAGAGTCGGCACCTCGAGGTGATTAACAACTATATTTCCTCCCTGCCCAAACAGGCTCAGGGCTCAACGTCCAAGGTCCTGCCGTACCACCTGCCGCCCTCGCCATCTTACCAGCCGCCGCCCTCACCGGCCACGCCGTCGAAGTGTTTGACCCCCTTCACACTGTCGAAGGGTTTCACCCCCAAGGCTTCGTCGGCGTCAAAACGCCAGCCCACAATCGTCATCCGGAAGATGGGCAAAGGAAAGGTGCCGGCGGCGGCGGCGGACGGGACCGATAGCGACACCCTTTACGAGGATCTAGACGAAAACCTTGCCGAGGTTCTCGCCGACTACGTTGACCCCGATTACCGCTTCGACCCGCGCTTCGAGAATCAGCTGGGGAACGACGCCTGAGTAGCTGAGGATTACGCACCGTCGCTCGAATTTATATACCGTAGTCTCATTTGTTGTTTTGTCTTGAATGCCAAATTTGTTGTGCCGCGTTGTTAACGGGTAAATGCTCAGCGTGGTGTTGCGCTGCTATCGGGTACCGTTCAACTTCGGCGGGTACACAGGTCCGTGCACTTGGCACGTGTGATCTGTTTGGCGCTGCTTTTGGTTTTATACCAAGTCGATGTTTGTCCACCACTCTCGCCACCCCTCTCTCGCTATACCACCGCGCAAAGAATCCAAAGTAAGTCAATGCAGAATCAAGTTGCAAGGAAATACTGACCATGCTAGAAATGAAACGTCAATCGCAGGCATCGCCCACGTGACCCAAAAGAGCCGCCGCTGCCGGAAAGTCCAAGGCTGCACCCAAGAAGGCCCCCCCCAAGAAGGCTGCCCCCGCCAAAAAGGCTGCCCCAAAGGCCGCGTCGGCAACGAAGAAAAAACCCGCGATAAAGGCGGTCGCAGCTGACGATGAGCTCGAGGAGGAGGAGGACCAAAACGAGCACGAGGATCGCAACAGCAGCGGCAGCGACACGGCCGGCGAAAAGAACCACGGTGAAGAGGGCCACGGCGAAAAAAACAAGAGCAGCGAGGGCGCGGACCACTTGGCCGACGATTTGCGCGACATGGCCACTCCCCCGCCTGACGACGACTTGACCCACGATTTGTGCAACTTGGATGACTCGGCCGACGCGTTGCGCGACATGGCCACTCCCCCGCCTAACGAGATCCCTCCCGACAAGGTCTCGCCTTCGCCGCAGCAGCAGCGCGATTCCACTCCGCCCCCACGCGACTCCACTCCACCGCTGCCCCCGCCCGACAAGGTCCCGCCGCCGCCACAGCAGCAGTGCGAATCCACTCCACCGCCGCCCCCTCGCGACTCCACGCCCCCGCACGACTCCACTCCACCGCCACCCCCGCCCGACAAGGTCCTGCCACCGCTGCAGCAGCAGCAGCGCGAATCCACTCCACCGCCGCCCCCTCGTGACTCCACGCCCCTGCACGACTCCACTCCACCGCCACCCCCGCCCGACAAGGTCCTGCCACCGCCGCAGCAGCAGCAGCACGAATCCACTCCACCGCCGCCCCCTCGCGACTCCACGCCCCCCGCGCGACTCCACTCCACCGCCGCCCCCGCCCGACAAGGTCCCGCCGCCGCCGCAGCAGCAGCGCGAATCCACTCCACCGCCGCCCCCGCCCGACAAGGTCTCGCCGCCGCCGCAGCAGCAGCCCAACTCCACTCCACCGCCGCCCCCACCCAACTCCACTCCACCGCCGCCCCCGTCCAACTCCACAAACGGCGCCGAAACCGCGGGGCAGAAGGGCGGTGCGAAAACCGTTGTTGCCACATCGCAAGAGGACGGCGTGGAACTCGACGGTGGATCGTGGAGGGAGTGTAACCCTGACGCCCCAATGAAGCCTCCGCGTGTGGTTGCCAGCCGTCCCGACCTCACGGACGCAGAGAAGAACAGCCTGGCGCTGCAGTGCGAGCTGAACGTGGCGGCGAAGGCGCGGTTCGAGAAGGAGATCACCGACTTTGACGCCTCGATGTGGACAAAGGCGAATGAATTGGCGGAGGAGTTTGACAAAACCCCAGAGGAGGTCAGGAAAGCGCTGCGTGGGAAGACCAACCTAGCGAAAGAGCGCGCGCACAGCCTGTCGAACGCCCGAGTATGGAAGTTTCTCTGGAGGTCAACGCAGGTATGTCGGGGCGACTTGGTGACGCGTCCTTCCACTGACCTTTTCCCATAGACCGCCCGGCTGGAAGCAAGCTCAAAGCCCCCGCGTTACAGAAGATGTTGAAGGAGGACGGGCGCTACGACGACCAGACGCCGGAAGAACAAGAGGCGCTGCTGACTGAGTTCGAGGAGTCAAGGGGGGTTGTGAAATCGGGGACTCGTCTGAACAACACCGCTGCCTGCCGAGACGTCACGGCGTTCAGCAGCCGTGTGAACAGGGAGGTAAGTATTCAATGTCCCGTTGGCCGTCGGTAGCCTTGAGCTGATAATGGGCGCAGATAACGTTGTTAAACAAGCGGACAGGCGCCGAGGCCTTCTGCGTCATCGGCCGCTCTGACGTGCACGACACCATCAAACCCGGAGTGGTTGGGACACCGAACTCGTTCAAGTTCTTTCCCCAGATTCTGCGTACCACCCACGACCAATTCGCCATCAAGTTCGACAACTTCGGCATCAACAGGGATGAGATCGGGCTGAGCGCCGGCTTCGACGCTCTGCGAAAGTCGACCATCTCGATGATTTCAGACGGCCTCCGTACGTGTTTTTCTATTCCCAGTTAACCGCCGCCACTGATATCTCCACCGACAGACTGCGCTACGGGCAAACATCTCCAGATGAAGTATGAGGATTACGACGACATCCTGTCAGAGTAAGTGCCGTATATGCAGCTGCGAAACTCCGGCGGCTACTGACACGATTCTACAGCTATTCCGTGGAGCTCGTGGGTTGGCCCAAGGACGTGCCGTTCAAGGCGCCTAGTGTCCTCGGCAGCATCAATCTCATTCGGCCGGTCCACGATGCGCTCACCGCGGGGAGCTGTCGGTGGGAGAAGATGACGGACGCGCGGGTGGAGGAGCACAAGGCGGCGGTCGCGGCGAAGGCGAAGAAGACCAAAAAGCCACATCGTGACAAGGGGTTGACGCGCGACGCGGCGAGGGAGATGAGGGAGAAGAAACGCCAGCGGGGGTCGGACGACGAAGGGGGGAAGCCCAAGTGCCGCCGAACGAACCTCACTGGCATGTCGCCGGACGAGTTGGCCGAGCACAAGCGCAAGCTCAATCGGGAGAAGAAGCGCCGCGCGCGGGCGAGGAAATCGGGAGCAACTGTTCCGGTCCCGTCCCGCGCTAGGTCCGCCAAAAGTCGGGCGACGGTGTCTGACAGCGAGGACGAGGACAACGATGAGGATGATGACGACGATGAGGAGGAATGGGTGCCCATTGGAGAAAAGGGCAAAAAGCGGAAGGCGAGGGAGGACGAGAGCGGGTCTGAGGGCGACGGCGAGGGGAGGAGGAAGAAGAAAAAGGCAAAGCGCGCCGACAGCGCCGACAGCACCCCCCCTCCTACCCCCGGTACAACAAGAAACTCCTGCAGGCACTCAAGCTGGGAGCGGAGAACGAGCGTCGCAAGGCTCGCCGTGCGCGCCATGCAGAGAAGGCGAAGGCGAATCTGCGCACCTCGCTGTCGCCCCGCAAAGCCGTAGGCCCGCGCCCCCTGCCCAAGCCCAAGTACAAGCCCGCTCTCACCCCCGGCGCGTCGACGAGCAAATTGCCCCGTGTCCTCACGCTCTCCGGGATCGACCTTGCCCCCGAGACCGATAGCAGCAGCGACGACGAGGAGGACGACGAGGAGGAGGAGGCTGGGCACTGACCGTAGGGCTGGCGCGTCTTTCTCCTCAGGCCTCGAATCTTTTTTGCTCAAAATATACATCTCCCAAGTGCGTGTCTGTCTTGCCTCGCCAGCTTCCGGATGTTATCCACAGTGTAGTGCGCGTTTTTCTTGTCTCGCCGGTCTCCGGACGTTTTCCATACACTGTAGTGATGTGGGTTTAAATTGATGAATTTGCTGTGTGCCGCTAGTAAGATCGATGTGGTGGTGGGGACTATCGGACCCTCACCACGTACCCGCTAAGCAAGGTCACTGTGGCGTAGTGGTTTACGCATCCTGATTCATTATGTAGCAGTAATCGGTGTTCTCGGGACCGCGCGGGTTCGAATCCTGCTGGTGACTTTTTTTTTTCAATGTGTCTTCTCATTTATGGTACGCAATATGCAGTAGCAGGGGTGGCCAGCATTTTCTTGTATTATTTCGGGGTGCCCCTTAGAATAGATGTTAATCATTGTGATGATTATTTTAGCTTTGAAGGATTAGTATTAGCCTAGGGTGCTACAAACAGCTGCTAGTGTCTCTCCTGTAGTGTAGTGGTTAACACCTTGTCATTTGCAATTGGGCAAATCACTGAGGTCGAGGTTTCGCTTCTTGGCAGTAGCATTTTTTTTTACATTATAATATGGCGCCTTTTTGTGCACAAGGCACCTTTTGTGCCTTCACCCGCGGCTTTTACTTACTTTTCTGCATTTGCGGTGCTCCTACCTGTGACAGTTGAAATTTGGCTTCTGCTTTGATTTGTGTATTATCCAAGTCTGTGTACTCTACGCCCAAACTGTACCCGGACCGCCACTGACGTCTCTAGGTGCGCACATTTCTAAGTCCCGGGTACCCGCTAAATCGAGCAGTACCTGGTCCGCCGCTTCCACCTCCCCTGGCGCGCATTTCTAAGTCCCGGGTACCCGCTAAATCGAGCGGTACCCGGGCCGCCGTCGATGCCTACCCCTGGTACCCGCTGAGCCTAGCCCGTACCCCTCCCACCCGTCCCACCTACCCCTAGTACCCTTGAAGGCCAAGGTGTGTGCCCTTCACCCCCGACGCATGTGTCGGGTACGGTGGTGTCACCTCAGCACCTCACAGACAGTCCCCACCTCCTCGAAATCCGCAAAAGGTCCTCATTTACCCCCTATTACCCCCTAAAACCGGTGGAGAGGTCGTAGTGGTTCTTTAGGCCTGAATCTATGGACTTTCCCATGTCCTTGTACCCCCTAAGGACAAGGTAATTTCCTCTGTTAGTTGGGACTGACAGGTGGCTCGACCAAGGTGTTGGTGGGGATATGCTTACGCCGGGGACACCTGTTACGCTGATGGCCGGAGAGCAGTGCACAGTGGGAGTGTGGCCTGGGGTGCACACAGCGCATACTTGCCGTGGTGCGTTCTCCTTTCATTACTTATTTTTTTCCCCTTGGACCTTACTCATACAATCACGCCACCGCTGTCACAAGCTCAAGCGGTCAAGGCTTCAACTCGACAATGCGAACAATACGAACGCGGGCTGCGAGGGACACGGAGACAAGCACAACGAGGGGAATGTCCCCGTTCAAGGTGCATACACCCGCACCCGCAGCCTTGCCTCCCTTGCTCACCTACTCCCTTGTGCCCTGCACCCACATACCGATACCACGCGCCACGTGGGCGTAACATTACGCAGGGAACATTGTCGGCAACGGGTTAGGGTTAATTAGAAGGAACGTGCATACTCCCTTCATTCCCCATCGTCCCGCATCCTCTTCCCCCCTCGTCCCCGCCTTCGTCCCCGCTATAAAAGCTTTTTTCATTCAATAATATCAACACAAATGGGTGCACATTGAACAGTGCACATGCACCTCCAGTGCAGCACATGCACTGGAAATGGGGCACATGTACTACGTTCAATTGAACACACAACATATATATTGCACAATGTACTACAGCTGCAGTGCACAATGTACCACGAGAATGTTGTGCTCGTAAGAAGTACATTCAACCACATCAATCAGCACTTTTGCCGAGCAAATTGAACAATCAACAGGCCTTATTTCATTGTAGTGAATGATGTACCCTGGCGGCCTTGCCCAGACATTCCCTGTCATAATACAAATCAACCCAGGACACCTAGATCATAGCCCAGATCAACCCACATCGAACGGGGAACGCCCACCGCTGACAGATCAATCCCAAAGTCGGCTATCAAACCCAACCAGGCTTGACCGAAACAACCATGGCCGCTGCTGCCCCCCTCGGAAACGGCGGCGAGTTACTTGAAGCCTTTCGAAGTCATTACCACCGATTCGGTTGTAATTGCCCGCCTAGGTGATGATTTGGATGAATATGCTTTGCTGGTACAGGAGGTACGTGAAATTGGAGGCACTTCTTTTTTCTAGGATTCTGAGAACCCCTAGCATTCCAGGATCTTTGATCCGGCAGAACTCACTTTAATTCAGACCAGTGTTGCGGCAATGCAAAATGATATACGCCTTGAATACCGCGACACAATTGATGCTTCTCATAACGGCCGACCCACCTTGGTACAAACCGTAGCCACAAGTCATCCGGGTCAGCCTTCGATTTATACTGACCCTGATTTCCTTCGCTGGGCTTACTCACAGAGGTCGACCGCCAGCCTTCACCGCTTTCTTGGTGTTAGTCGAAGTACCGTTCGTTCAGTACTTCTTCGCCACGACATCGCGACTCCGCAGGGGAATCCATTTCCGACAAGGGCCACCTCTCTTGACGATAATCTGCTCGCCGATGACGTTCAAGATCACCTTCTGGATCCAGACCTTCCCATCCCCGCCCAACTCCCATCCGACGTCAAAGACATGGCAGTCCCCGATCCTCAAATCTCATCATACACCGGCCCTTTGTCCGACATTTCAGACCAGGACCTGGATATCTTACTCCTCCGTCTGTGTTCTCACTACCGTCGTGCTAGGCTTGCAATGCTTGACGGGATGCTGCGAAGGCTGGGTCACCGAGTACAGCGCGAAGAGGTAAGGCAATCACTGCTGTGGATCGATCCAGTACGTAGAATCTTCGAGTGCATTCACATTCGACAGCGTATATACTCTGTTGCCGGGCCCAATTCGCTCTAGCATCATGACGGCCAACACGGTACAAACTTCTGATTTTGGTTCCCATTCACCCTCTGAAGTAACTCTTCCCAGGACTTATCCGTTGGGGCATTGTGATTCATGGTTTTATTGATGGGTACTCGTGCCTTATCACAGGCCTCCGTGCCAGCGACAACAATACTGCGCGCACAGTGCTCGATATTTTCCTTGCCGCCTGCGGGGAATTTGGGGTTCGTTCCCGTTGTCGCGGTGTGATGCGGACTGCGGTTCTGTGAACTGCCTGACCCGGGGTGGGTATAGTCAAGTAGTGCTTTACAGAATTTAATTCGTCCTCTAGGGGGAAATTGCTCTTTCGCGGAGCTGCGTAGTTTTAAGGTACGCTAATGCGCGATATATAATTTGTGGTGTGTGTGTGTGTACAGTTCTCTCCGTTTGGATTGAACGCTTTGCCAGGTTCCTCGAAGATTTAGTTCTTCGTTGGGGGCTGGCCTTCCGAAGGTACCGCAGATGGATAGTTTTCTACACTTGCTCGAAGGGTACGCTCCGCAATGCGAATGCTGTTCCGTTCCGGAGTACTCGGGTTATCTGTTATGCTTTATCCACCCGTCTCGAACGTATCGGACGGCAGGTCTCTTCAGTACAGTGCAACACTATACGGATGGCTATAGCGATTCCCTTCGTAGCCTGGTTTCTCCGTTGGTGAACGCCTTGAAACGGAATCACTTCCGTTTCGAAGACTCGGGGGTGAAGTGTGCGAATTGAATGGGGGAAATGGTATGATCGCGTAGGATAGGCCTTCCGTGTACGATGGGGTGGGTTCCTCGCAAGGATATGCGCTCGAACTCCGAAAAGAAACGGTTGCACGAAGCCAAGTTAGGCGACTGGCCGTTTGGTGGTGTGCCGCGTTAATCTACTACCGCGCGCTTTCAACTCCGGATTGACTATATTTCCCCCGTATCGATTTATCGAAACGGAGGTGAGACGGACGGGGTTTCTTGACAAGCCCTGGCCTTCTAGGTGACCTTGGTTTGTCCTACTATTGGGCGGCACGACCCGTAGCGGAGTGTATTTTAATTTAGTTCCCCACCCTGGTGTACTTCAGGGGGAGTAGCTTTAGGTAAATGCAGTGGGAGGTAATAAGATGATCATTCCGTATCTTACAGCTGGCTTTTATACTGTACTCTGTCCGATACTCGCGCGCGTATTTATGTAAGGATGCCATCCTCACACGTGCATCTTACCAGTAACCTGGTTCTTCACATGTCACTTACTCAGCCACATCCTCTTTTGTATATATAGCCACCATTTACCTTACTATCTGTACCGCACGAAAACCCCCCGACCTGACCCTCTATGTATTCCTCCTGTTGCTCGTAGCCTGGTGATCTCGCCTCTAGGAATATATCGTGGTCCTGTCAACGTGTGTGTCTCTGTCCCGGTTCGCCCGTTAGTGTCTGTCAAGAGAACGACAGCCTTTCAATTTATCCCTTTAATTGGAAACGGATGTTCCACCCTTTTCAGTTCTGACTCGCCTCTGTGATCGCCCACGCGTTCCCGATTCCGAAGGGGTTAGAAATTGACTCGGAGCAGCCTCGTGTCGCATCCGTTTCCCGTTTCAGTCACCCCGTTTCCCAAGAACCGCCTCAGTTCTCCGTTTAGTCGTCCCGTTTCCCATAGCGCAACCACTTCGTCTCCGTTTGCCCCCCCATTTCCTTCCCTAGTACCGGCCAGGTGGCGGAACGGCAACGCATGCGAGACAAATAAGAGAGCCAGTAATGTTTCCTCGCAAGGTCTCCTCCGTTCGATTTGGGGTCTGGCCTTGATAAACCATCAAGAAACTTTTGCCTCCGTTTCGTTTTTGAGTGAATGCGCGTCGAGTTTTTGAGTGAACACATTGAACGGCCAGGTAGCTCTATCAATATTTTCCTGCTTGCTTGTGGGTTTCCTATTGATTCGGAGTCTGATGTTCCTATAATTGAAATCAGGTTCGTTTCGTCTTCTTGTCCGTTTGTCGAGTCGTAATCACGGCCAGGTGGCGGAATGGTAACGCACGCGAGACGAATACACAGACTCCCATAATGTTTCCTCGCAAGGTCTCCGTTCGATTCGGGGTCTGGCCTTGCTGACGCAGAGGATCCTTTTTTTCCTTGTGGTCTCGGTAAGTACTCGCAGTCACATAGTGTAACGGTAACACGCTTGGACTCGATACATTGGGATGGAGCGATTCTCCAAGAGTACCCTGTTCGATTCGGGGTCTGGCCCTGGTGGTGGTGTATCCGATGCTTTTTA